AAATCACTGGTAAATAAAACACACCTTAGTATCGATATTTTTTGTTTGAGTATCGATACTTTCGATACTCGCGTCAGTATCGATATATCGATACTTTGGATCGATACGCCCATCCCACTCGCTGCTCGGGATGGAGAAGAAGATCGCCGAATAAAGGCTTGGATTTGGGTCTGTTCCTCACAGTCGTATGGATTCGGAAGATTTGAATTACAGCGCACAAATACAATTGTTTAATTTCGTAATTATGTTGCATTTTTGGTGTATTTTATAGTTCTATTGTCAGTCACAGCATGTCGGAGAAAACGCCTTTTGTGGCCCACAATCAAAGTAAACATTACATGACAAGTAAAGGTTAAACGATTGCAGAAATGTTATTTATTTTAAGGTTTAAAGTGAAGTCGTGTTTAACATTATGTAGGCATATTCTTGGAAACGAGCTGGCAGCAGAAATCACACAACAAAACAAAATGTTATCATTTCATAAGTAAATGAGTAAACAATTCAATAATGCAATTGAAAACAAGGTAATTCATATGACAACTAAAAACTAATAAAATTAATACCGCAATTTCAATATTCATAAAGATTCATGTTTAGGTGTCATCAATACGTCAGTTTTGTACGTTTTATAGAACCACATTTTACTTAAAATACATACGAATTATCATGAGATCACGTTGGTGCCACAGAAACATCAAGCTGTTTGTCATGTAACTGCTGTCTGAAGTGCTTCAGTTCAGTGTTTTAATATGATCGTGAAATAGAGATGTTGTTGTTGTCAGATCTGCAGGTGGAGACACAGAAGAGTGTGAAAGCGGGAGATTCAGTCCTTCTGATCTGTAAAAGCAGCTGCTCTCTGCCTCAACAAACAACATTCATCTGGTACAGAAACACACAGAGATTAAGTACAGGAATCATCACAGTGAATCAGCTTCAGCTGCGGTCAGTCAGTCGTCATGATGCAGGAAACTATCAGTGTGCTGTTTCAGGATATCAACGTCTGAAGTCTCCACCTGTTTATCTTCAAGTACGATGTGAGTACAAACTGATTCATTAACATTAGTAAAATAGTTAACTGATTATTGAGATTAAATTACTCAGAATTAGTTTCAGGCCCAGTAATATAGGCTGCATGATATTTTTGTTTATACGACAGGATTTAATTTTAATAATGTAATAATATGTCAAATGAATGTGAATCAGGAATCTGTGTTTAGAGACTCTCTTTATGACTCATGGGTTGATAAATCAGTAAATGTGACTCTTTTATTTGTTGTGCACCAGTTCAGATGGATATTTATATCTTTGGATCTCATCACTGAAATAAAGTCTCTTGATTTCTACTTAGATACAACTTCAGTAATTGTTAAAAATGATAATGGAAAGTCTTTGCATAAATAAAATAATGATGTTCATATTTTAAATATATTTAATCTAGATCCTCCACAGAGCGTCTCAGTGTCCGTCAGTCCATCTGGTGAAATAGTGGAGGGAGATTCAGTGACTCTGAGCTGCAGCAGTGACTCAAACCCTCCTGCTCTGAACTTCAGCTGGTTTAAAGGAGAAACATTTCTGAAATCTGGTGACACCTACAGCATCACTAACATTACATCTGAAGCCAGTGGAAACTTTTATTGCTTTGCTAGAAATGAACATGGAGCTAATGGCTCTGCTGCTGTGACTGTGAATGTCATGTGTAAGTCTACCTTTATTTTTGGTCAGATCTGACTGATTTTTTTTTTATTATTTGTCTTACTGCATGTCATTTTACATTTTTGTCTTTTTAGATCCTCCAAAGAGCGTCTCGGTGTCCATCAGTGCGTCTGGTGAAATAGTGGAGGGAGATTCAGTGACTCTGAGCTGCAGCAGTGATTCAAACCCTCCTGCTCTGAACTTCAGCTGGTTTAAGGAGAATCAAAGCTCAGCTGTTGGATCTGGACAGAGTTTCAGCATCTCCAGCTTTAACTCCAGTCACAGCGGACACTACTGTTGTGAGGCTCAGAATAAACATGGATCTCAGAGATCAGCATCTGTTTCAGTCTCTGTTGAAGGTATTCACTATAAACAGACACTCTTTGAGTTTCATCTGTCTCTAGTGTGAAATGATCTTCATGAACTTCTTGTTTCAGGTGTTCAGAGGGCTGCTCTGCACACAGTTACTGGGATTGTGGTGGGATGTGGAGGATTGATCATCATCATCATCAGTGTGTTTATTAAGTGAGCTCCTGCATTATAAAGTCATTTTACAAGTTAACACAAATGCAGAATTTGTTAAACTTATTGCAATATGTTAAATGTTACTTGCAATAAAATATACTGTTCAGTACTTTGTAACAAAATTTCCAGGAAGAAAAGGAGAGACGGTGGAGCTGAAGTTGTCAGACAAAATCAGGCAAGTTTGATAATACATACCACATCCTCAGCAGCAGGATCATGATATAGATATTATATTTGACTATAAAAATTAAGACTTAAAAAGTCATGTACTGTTGCTTGTCTAATATTTGAGAAAATATTTCAAATTGTGTGATTGTTATTTTATAAAACAGCAGGATGATCGTGTGGGCAGATTAGCAGAAACGGCTCCAACCAATGACGTTCCAGTGTATTCACTAGTATCAGCCAATCAGAGGGATGATCTGTATGGCAACATTAAAGTGAAGAAACCCAAACGCTCTGGGAGAGAACAAACAGAAAAAGACTCTGGAGATGCTGAAGAGATTCAGTATGCCAGTGTCCATCACTTCAAGAACAAAGACATGAACAAGACTGAAGAGACTACTGAGATGCAGCATCTATCTGATGCCAATAGGTGAGAAACGTTTCGTCTGAACCCAAACGAAACCTATTCAATGCTTAATCAGACCTTTTTTTGTTGTCGAAATGATGGATGGTCACCTGCTGGTGGGATTTTCTGAAATGCCATATTCTTTTAATTTCTCCCCAGATCTGAGGACGTGATCTACAGCTCAGTCAAATGAAGAACATGTGGTCGATCCGCATCCTATTGATGCTCATGGGAGACCTGGATTTGAGTCCATCCCACGTCATGTTCCAGCTCCCTCTCCGCTTGATTTCATCCATTTACATATTTATGGGACTGTTCTGCTGTTTGGACATTAATGGCTTTCAGCTTAAAATCGCATCTTAATTGTGAATATCACACACACTGCCTTCACTCGACACTCACACATGGACGCCACTCAGACCTGTAATAGCTCTTTAGCTCTCGCTTTGTAATGTCAATGTGGAACCAATGTTTTCTTTTGTGTGTTTATACTGTCATTTTATTGCTAAATACATTAAATTTTAACATTGTCAGAAAGTCTTTATTTTCACTATGACATCATTGTTATGACAATTTAGCACATTTTATCTTAATTTCTGCTCTGGTCTATTTGCCTATAAATAGCTGAATCAAGTTATAATAATTTTCAACTACCTGCTCATAAGACATATGTTTTCAGATATCTATTTTTATTTGGTTACTGAGAGTGTTGATGTCGTTAGTGACATTCACACAAAGGCACTTAATTAACCATAATTTTAGCCTTTTAAAATGAAAAATGACAATGGAGCTTGGCAACAAGCTTCACACTGTAAGTTGATGAGCTGGTTTACCTGCCTCTGGTAATAGAGCCTTTAGATGTATGCTGAGGCTTTTGAGGTCGGTTAGAATCTGCAATCTCTGATCCAGTTAGTTTACCATGTTCCATGGCTGCAATACGCTTTATGCCACCACCTGGCAACCCGGGGTGTCGAAATACTAATGGGCAAACTGGCAGTGTGTGGAATCAATCAGACCAAAACAAAAACAGACATTCCGACACAGAACCAGTGTTGCCAAGTACAGTTTTCTGGTGGAATTGGGCTAGTTATATACTGCTGCCATGGGTTGAAGCAAAGGCCTCCACACCCCAGGAATGTTATTTTGACCAAAGTGGAACCCTGTGTTGTATATAAACAGTCATTTCAGCATTTTATAGGAATGCTCCAGGTGCTAACATAACCTTGGGTTCCCTGAAATAACAGTAATGAGCAATGCGTATACCATGCTAGAGGGAAAATTCTGTTTTCTCAGAATACTGAAGCCTGATTTGTTAATGTTCTTGTTGCTACCCAAACAAATGGAATTTCAGCTCGCCAAAACGAGCAGGGCTTACTGCCTATACAAGTCAGCACTGAGTGCCATTGTGCAAATTGGTGCAAATTGGAAGGCAAGCACGAGACATCTTTGAGGGAGGTCCAGCCATGGCAGGACTTAGTCCTCTCATTTTCTTTTCTGCTGAATCAGGATGGATTCTGCAGCTCAGTGTCCAGCATCACTTTGGCCCTGGTGCTTGGGGAAGGGATATCGCTGTGGCGCTGTTTGAGGGCGCTGTCGGAGCTCAAGGTCTGACTTCGACTGAGGCTGAGAAGGTGACTGAGCAGGATTTGGAGGCTGTTGAGTCGGCGGAGCCTTCTGGCGACATGAAACAGAAAGTGGTACATAGCTTCCGATGACTTCTGCACTGCAGTGAAGCGCTCCACGAAACCATCCAGAGCACAGCCAAACAGTCCAATGGGGGAGCCTGGGGAGTCGAGGAAAGGTGGCCTTTTCTGTGTCCTTGATCTTAGTAAGGTTTAACCAGTAGCACTGGTTTTCGTAGCACGTAGAGTCAGGTCAGTCACGCTGCTCAGCTCCTTGAAAGAAGCAGGGTTCGGGCCTGACTCTTCCATGGCACAGAGGAGCTTGGCCTGGAAAATCTGGAGGACCATTATGGTATGGAGCACTGAGCCAGCTTGTCCAGCCATGGAATATGTTTCTTCCTCCGAGGTTAAAATGCATTTGTTTGTGCATTTACACGAATGTTAACAAATCAGGCTTCAGTATTTAGAAAAACCTGAGTTTTCGCTATAGTGTGGTAAATGCAATGTGAGTGAACCGTATCAATGTGAGGGAACGCGTCAATTTAGAATAAGAAAAGAATAGTTTCTTTCTTACCTTTGTAGTCTGAAAAGTTCATTCAGAGAAAAAAAACCCTTTATGTACAGTTGGCAATGTGTAACATGAGGACGCACAATTGCATATTGCGTTCATCCAATTAATGACACTGACATTGCAAATATGCAAATAAGAACGTTAACCCATGGAATTTACAGAGTGAAACAGCAGCTTATGAATACACAGGATTAATTGTTAACCCTAGGTATACTGTATGAAACTTTTTCCTCGTCGAAGCAGAAACCGGGAGACGTTGGGATATCTTTCATACAGAAGTCACTCTTAATTGAGGACTCGCTGTCTGACTATATGTCTGATCCAAGTCTGACTATAGCTCAGCACAGTAGAGGTTATATACATTTTAAGGGGGCGGGATTCATTCAGTAGAGGTGGCGACAATCTAAACAAAGCATGCAAATGCAATACAGGAATCAGCCCGTTACCGGAATTTCTCCAGCCCTGATCTCATCAGCATAACAGTGTCATTCAAATGCATAGGTGCTAATCCAATCAGCATAACTACTCAAAGACTGGGGCGGAGGCACCAAGAGCCATTACAAACAAAAGGTGACTTTCTCAGTAATTTGGTTAATTTGACTAACAATAAGAGAAACCGGAACAGACAGGAACCTCTTGCTACACTTTGTTTAAGATAATCATTTGTCTGATGTAATTTACCTTAAATGCTAAATACAATGTACTTCACCTTAGTTTTTCATGTGATGCTATGTCAGAATATAGTATCAGCATATTTTAAACAGATTCTTAAATTTGTAATCCAACAGTATATTAAAAGCAGTGTGAAACAAGAAGCAAGATAACCCAGGATTCAGTTTACCTGGGGTTTAGAATGACCCAGGGTTAACTATTTCAAGTGTGAAAATGTAGGTTATTTTTTTCTCCTGAAAGTTGAGACTTATTTGCATAGAGACAGGAAATGTTATCATTTATATCCCCTGCTTATCACGCCTGTTTAGTCGTCAAATTTACCATTTACACTTTGACTACTAGTGAAGAAAGCTACAGCAAACAAGGTATGCGAGTTTTATTTGATAAAGAGTTTGTGAAATGTAGTGGTGTGAGAGAAGAAACTGATAGCTCTTGGTACAAAATGTTTGTGGGTGGGTCACTTCTAGGCAATGAACAAAGGTCAGCTAGGCAATGTACGAAGCTTTAAGCTCTCATTCCCCTTTTTGACATAAAACATAGAGACTCTGATGATAATGTGTCTGCATTCAAGCATTTCAGTGGGCTTAAACAGGTCATCCTTTACAGCAGATTTAGTTCACAAACAACTGACAGCTTTGACCTAAATATGATTTTCAGTTACAATAATTAATCCTAAAATTCGACATTAGTAACTTACTTTTAGCAGCATCAGTCGCGTGCGACCTCACAACATCTCCCGGTTCTTACTTGTGAATTCAGTTCACTGGAGACTCGCACTAAACGGTTCATTTGAATCAGTGAGTTGTCGACTTGAGAACAGCTGCAATCGGATCAATCCAATTCGTGAATGAATCGTTTGGTGCAATTTGCGCATCGATTTAACGGGTTCATTGAAAAGAATCAGTTCGATCATGAATCAGACACCGCTCGGAGCACGTGATATATTGTAAGGAGTAATGATAAGTTTTATGAAATGTAGTGAAGTAAAAAGTACGATCTTATGCTTTGGAATGTAGTGAAGTATTACGTAAAAGTTACTCAAAATAAAACTACTCAAGTAAAGTACAGATACTTGAAAAAATGTACTTAAGTACAGTAACGAAGTAAAACTACTTCGTTACTGTCCAATTGTTCCTTTGTACTAACTAAATATGATAACAAACTCTTTTCAGAAGCTTCATTGTCGTGGTGTTTATAGTGTTTCAGTAAACAAGGCTTCATTATGTCATAGCTGTTGCAAAACAT